CCCCAAAACCCCAAAACCCCAAAACCCCAAAACCCCAGGCTACATTTTCAAGATTGAATTAGATACACCTTAATTTTCAATTGCAGTCATGCAAGCATTGTCTTTTTCTTCAAGCATCTTCTGTTCCTTCGCTACCAGGATTTTGACCACCCCACTGAAGTGGTTCTTCTTTAGGCTGAATATTTCGATGAAGTGTCTGAGAGTGGCGATGGAGAAGTCCCTGGAGTGCTCTCTGTCGTAGATGGAGTCTTTGATGTTGCACACTAGGTATTTGAAGAACGCTCTGGTGACTGAGTAGATTATGGCACAGATTATTTTGTCGAGCTGGGGGTGGATTTCTGTGTTGGTCTTGAAGTGGTCTTTGTATTCGATGCAGCACTGCATGTACTTGTAAGCTCCGGCGATGTAGAGTTTGTTGAGGGTCTTGTTAGAGAATTCTCTGTTGGTGATGGTCTTTCTGAAATAGTGGGTGATGTTGTTCATTAAGAAAGACTTCAGTTTTCTCTTCAGCCACATGGATGCTTTCTTGGTCTGCATGTTCATGTTGAGAGTGCACAGAATTCCTTTTCTTCTCAAGTTTATGTTGGGCATCAATGCCAATGTAGACATGTCAATGGAGATACCGATCCAGTCTATGTAATCGTGAGCAATGTTTTGATCTTCAACAGAAGCCATTCCATATTTGTTCAGTTTTGAAGGATCTAATGGGAAATTGGTCTGCAACTTTTTCATGTTGAACTTGAATTTGTTCTGCCTTGATACATTAATCAGCTTTTCTATGAACAGAATGGCATTGTTTTCTTTAGTGGTGATGAGCAAGTAATCATCAGTCAAACGCATTAGAAGAGTGATATTAGGGTCATTAGCATCCATAGACTCTTTTCTTAAGTAGCCGAGTGCATTCTCCTCGAGACTTGCGTAGTAGAACGAAGAGAGGATGGAAGACACTCACAGCCCCTGAGGGATCCCCTTCGTCTGCTTGTAGTACTTCCTGTTGAATTCAATGTAGTTGTGTCTGCAGATCTTTATTACTGGGTCAAGCAATGCCTTCTTCTTGTAAGGATCTCTCTTCTGATTCTCAACCAGGAGAGTCTCCTTGGCATTCAGGTCGTTCTGATCGTCCTCGAGTACATTGAAGAGGGATGGATATTGATCACCTTCCAAGGCGATCTTTTGCCATTTTTGTCTGAAGCACTCTTTCATCTTATTTTCTTGCACATTTATCCAAATCAACTACTTCTGCATTATTTCTCTTCATAGCTTGTACTGTCATTATTCTGAATTCAGAAGAGAGTAACCGAGTCGTGCCAAGGAGCTGAGATAGTTTCTCCCTATCAACGCTGTCATATCATTTCTCAATATCCATAGTCACAAAATAAAGTTTAGGTCTGCCCACCTGCCTCCACTTCAGCACGAACTCTTCATACTTGCGCATCACATCATCGTAGTTGAAGACTGCAAACCCGAACGGATCTTTGAACATCCTGTTCTTCAGAGTCTTCAGCATCAGGTGGGAGTAAGACAACTTCGTGTTTGTAGTCATCTTGGAAGTCTTACCTTCAGGGTCGACAATCTTTTTGTTGAAAGTCATGATTGGTCTGAAAGTAGTTTTCTTGGGAATCAGTCTGAGTTTGCCAGGTGCAAACCTAAGTTCATTCTTCCACTTGACCATATCTTCTTTTGGAACTTCTTCTAATGTTTCTCTGTTCAAGTCAGCAATACTGTACTTCATGACAATATCCCAAATATTCTTCCTGTAGTAATAAGTTTCTGAATAACTTTTCTGCTGCTCTGTGACATAGAAGAAGCATCTAATAAGGGAGACTACAACATCTTCAAAGATCCATCTCAGAATTCTCCATAACACAAATCTGTTCTCTTTATCAAAATAGTGATAGTTCTTCTTGCTGGTTTTGAATCCAAGCCATTTAATGCTCTTGATGTCAAGTTTTCCAAGCAACAAGTTCTTGTGAATTAACTCATGCTTGTTCAGTCCAACATACTTCTTGATCTTTGATTGGAAACTCTTTCTGTTCTTTCCAGTCATGAAATCTTTAGGTAATGTATGGTAGAAGAACTCATTCAGAAATTGAGTCACACATTTGTTCTCGATTGTGTAACTGAAAAGCTCTTCATAATACTTTGCTTTTGCTTGTCTATCATCATTGAGGTGAGATAAAATCACCTTCTTACGTTCAACCCAGTTTTCAGGAAGAGGACATGATTTGGATAAGTAGTATGAGAACCTGAATTTCTTGATCTTTTCAACCATATGAGTAAGAATATTTACAACATTAGTTTTTAGATCCTTCCTGATTCTATTAAACCTGAAGATATCCTGAAACAATTTCTCTGCTCGGTCCACAGCTGAAAGTGTATCATGGTCTTTCATCAGCAAGTGCTTTTTGAAGAACTGAGTGTTCCTATTGTACTGAGTACAATAAAAGATCCTTGTTCTGGATTTCATGTTATTCCACATAACATCATTGATATTATTAATATAATGATCATCTTTGTTTTTGATATTGTACTTGCATCACTTCGAGACTTTTAAATTGCTCTTATCCATCGCTGCTTGATACTTAGAGACACCAAGGAATTCAAAAATGTTATTTGCCAGCAAACTGGACTAAGCTTCCCTCTGAAGTTCTTTCAAAAATGAGGTAATTCTTATAAATATGGCAAAATAGTTCATCTCCAATCATGAGGCGGACATCATTCCATTCTTTTCTTAAGAAATATTGCTTTTGAGTTGACAAGTTGAGTGCTTTCATTGTTGTTTCCCCTCGATGTCTCGTGAGTTGATATCCAAAGCACTGTAACTTTTTCCTATCAGAATCCTTGCTCGATTCAAGGAGGCTCTGGATTCATTTCTTGATGAGTTCATCGAGCTGCTCACTACTTCTCCGCTTCTCTCTAAAGGAGATATCTTTGAGCTCTTGTACATTGTAGTTATTATCAAAGGCGAGGATGATGTTTGAGGCAAATTTATTGAAGATTTTATCACTCTTGAGGAAATTATTCCACTTCTCTTCGAGATGATTGTTTTCAGCCATCTCTTTCAGAAAATCTAGCAAGGACTTGCACCATGGAATCTCTTCTGATGTTTTGAGAGCAGAATGAATCTCGTGATTCGATCCATTATCTTTACCAGCAAAGCTTGGGTTCATCCCTTGGTAGGATGATTTTGGTTCTTTCATTTCCATTTTTTGCGGGAGAATTCAATTTTATGACAAAAATTTGGGGTTTTGGGGTTTTGGGGTTTTGGGGG